TATTTTAATATAATTATAGTTAAATATAAAAAAATATTAAATACTTATTTAATAGCTATTAAACTATTACAATTTTTGGTTTGCTTACAATTAATTATCAAATTTATATAAAAAAATTAGATTTAAATGGCAGATTTTGCAAAGATATAAGTAATGTAATTTCTATTGAATAGAATCATAACTTTTTTTAAAAGCTTTTATTTATTTAAATGATGACTTGGACATTATTAAAAAGGATAGTAATTATAATTAGAAGAAAATCTGATAAGATTTCAAACTATATAAATTAAATCAATCTCTGAAAATACTAATTAAAAGATATCTATGCCAATAAAAATTGATATATTTTATTCAATTGATGGAAGTAGTAAAAAATTAAAATTTTTAAATATCAAATAATATCGCTTGCATATCTAAGCTATTTCAATAATCTTAATCAATAAAATTAGTCATATCCACCTTTGATCATTCTAACAATTTTACATAATAAGAATATTAAATTTAAGATCATTAAAAATATAAATTAAATTAATTGATAATTTAGCTAATTATTAGAGAATTCAGCCCTATTTACTTAAATTTGATAAATTTTGGATCACTTTTTACTTATTAATATTTAGACTTAAAGTCTTTTCAACTACTATTTCAATTAATTTCTTTCAAATAATTCTCCTGATAATTTTGCTTGTAATTAGATTGGTTATTTATTGAGAATGCACTATCAGAAGGCACATTCATTATTTGGAGGATGATTCCAACATATTACTTAAATAATCTATATTTTGAATATGCAGATAAAATTAAACTTTATCATTTGTTTAGTTTTCATTTTGAAGTGAAAAATATAGTATATAAAATTTATGGATTTTCAATTAACCAATGAGAATAAATTTCCCTCAAATTCACAAAGTGATGCTCTATAGATGAAGAAAAATAGATTATAAAATCAAAATATGCAATTTATTTACTTCTATCGTTGTGTGTGAGACAATAAAGTAAGGCATGTGAATATAACAATAAATTTGTTAATATTATATAAAATGGTTTTTATAAAGCAGGATTGTAAATGATTAAAATAAATAATTAAATTAAAAATGTATAAACTAAAAATGATAGAAAATGAACAAAATCTTCATTGTATAATGAAACATGAATTACCTGTCTCAATGGTTATTCTAGATTCTAAACTAGAATAAAATTAAAGACTATTGTGTCAGGAATGCATTGATAATTTCGAATCAGAGTAAAAATTTAAGACTATTGGATTTAAAAAAATTATTTAGAAGATTGAAGATAATAAATAGTAATAGTTAAATATTATTGAAAATCTAATTATAACTAATATCAAATAGGTTGAATCATTCTAAATTCAAATCAATAATTTAAAATCTATGGTTCTTTAGTAATTAGATCAATTAATTACTAACACTAAAGATTGGATATTAAATTTAAAATAAACAGGATCTAAATACTCAGAGTATAGTTTCTTCAATGAATTAGATTTAATAATAATGAATTAATAAAATAATAAAGATGACTAAATTAATTGTTAGAATCAAATCGAATTACTTAATCAAACTTAAATTACAAAGATTAATTCTAAATTAGAACAATTCAAATCATTTCAAGAATATCAATAATTAAAGAATATATTGAACGAACTAAATTAATATACATCAAATACGTATAAAATTAAATAACAATAACAATTAAGTCCAAATCAACTAGTATTTATTGATGATACAATTGAATAAGAAGAAACTTGTTATGCAATTGTATTTGATTCAACAGGAAAGATTATGGTTTCAACTTGTGGAAGCTAAATTATAATTTGGAATTTCAATAATGGAAAAATTATTAAAGTTCAATCACTTTAGGAACATTAAAATTTAGTTAATTGCCTAATATATAGTTAAATTATAAATTGTTTTTTTTCTGGATCAGAAGATGGATCAATTATATTATGGAGATAATAGAATAACAATTAATGGTAAAGTTCCAAACCATAATGTAAACATAAGGAAGGGATCTTATGTTTAATCTTAACATAAAATGAAGATTAAATAATTTCAGGTAGTAAAGATTCCATGATAAATGTCTGGAGTATAGATTTTATTAATAATTAATTAACATTTCTCTATTTATTATCAAAACATACTAGTTATGTCAATTCATTAAGTTTAAATTTATCAGAAAGATTATTAGTTTCATGTGGATCTGATAAATAAATTATAATTTGGTAAAAAGATTCATATAATGAATGGGCTTTTTAGTAAGTTGTTAAATAATCAATAAAAGGTATTGGGACTCATGTTAAATTTTTAAACGAAGATTAATTCATATATAAATCGAATATTTTATAAGTATTTTAACAAAAAAATGGTAAATTTCAAGAAATAGTAGAGAAGGAAGTTAAATTATAAAATAATAATTAAATATTTCTAAATTTACCGTTCTTCCCAATCATTTACATAAAGGATAAAAAATTAATATGCTTAAGACATCAAGAACATGTTATATTACTCAAAGAGCAAAATGATGGATAATTATAAATTGTTTAGGTCTTAGATTGCCAATGTTTGAGCTTTTATGGAACATTAACAAACAATGGAGAATATTTCATATGTTGGAATTATAAAAAGGCGAAATATGAGATATATGAATATTAGGAGAAATGAAATAAATTATTCATTACAAGTATTAGAATTCATTATTCTATTTCAAATTCTAATTATTTTTTCTGTTTTTTCCTTAGGTAATATAGTGTATTAATGACGAAAAGATTCTTATATTGATAATAAAATTGAAAATATTTTTACAATAGCTTATAATAACTTAAACTCAAGTTTACAAACAATAATTTAAATAATTTGTGAGTGTTTAAATATCATATAATCTTAAAATTGTTAAGATATATAAATTTATTTTTATAATCATCTGACCTTTGATAAATGAACCAGAATGAAATTATTTTATTAGCTATAATACAAAATCATCTAAATTATTTTTATAGATCTTTAAATTAACCTTTTATTAATATTTCATGGCAATAAAGTTCTTTAACAATAAGAGTTATGTTATAACACTTTTAGATTAATAGTTTTAAATTAAAGGTTTTGTAAAATGAAGATCATTTTTGATTATTTCAACTATATCATTTTTTTATGAAGAGCAATTTTATTTGCAAATAAGATTTATCTGATTAATGATTATTTTATCAATCATAGCTCTAACTAAAAGTCAAAAAGCAAACTCAAAAAGAAAAAAATAGGAATAATATTATCTAAAATTTTATATTTCTTTCACACCCTCATTATGTATAGTGTGGTAACCTTCCTTAATACATATGCAACAAATCAATCTGGACTCTGTACAATTTTGATTATTACAAACCATATTAATCTCTTCATTGTGATATTCTCTTTTACAAATAAAATTTAAATCTGATGGCTACTAAATCATTATCTATATTAACATTAAATATAAAAAATCAGATCACTTTAAATGAATAAAACTCTATAAAATTTATTTAAAAGATAAATTATATAATTTACATTATTTCTTAAAATAAAATGAAATAATTATTATTCTCCATTTTTAACAGCTTTCTTATATAAATTATATGGTAAAAATAGTTTAAATAAACACATAGCTAAATATTTTTCAATATAAAAAATACATTCTTAGTTTTTTTATTCGAAAAGTTTAGAGAAAAACTAGAATTAAATTCTCCTTTTTGAATTGAAGAACTTGACATAATATCAATTTTTTCTTTTTCTCTTACATTTACCCTAAGCAGATATCTCTCCAGAAACATTAAAGGAGGAAAAAATGTCTTAAATTTAAACCCTAACTTAAGGAGAAACATGTAATAACTTAATAAGTCCTTTCTACTCTGGAATTAATACTATCTAGACTATTTCAGTATCTTTGAATAGCTTATAAGCAAAAAAAAGATTAGTTTAGGCTCCTGTTAATATAAGAGAAATCCCTGGATAAAAGAGAAAGATTCATGCTTTCTTACTGATTTTTGATTGGTAACTGCATTAATATATAATTCTATTGTGTGTTGGGCTCTATGAAACAAAAATCATAAATCTTAAAAACATAAATATTATCTTAATTTTAAGTCAGTTTTTGTAATTAAAATATTTATTTTCTCTAAAACACAACTAATACTGTACGATAGGTTATTTTAAAAGCATTTCTTATAAATTAAGAACTTTTAAATATATCGGTAAAAATATGAACTTTAAAATTATTGAATACCATAAAATTTGACTCATTAAAAATAACCATTTTATTAATTTCATAGTTAAAATAATTTAATAAGAAATTTAAAGTTTTCATTTTGAATTATTTAATATAAGAATTTAGCTTTAAGAGATCATACTTAATCAAAGAAAATCTTGAAAGAAAATTAAATTTTATTTAGGAAAGCAATATTATCACTCCAGTAATAGTATATTTAGATGGAACCCAATTTCAGGTTTCATTTCTTGATCAAAACTTTGAACCCTAACACCCTAACGTAGAATCTAATTTTATTATTAGAGAATAAAAGAAATTCTGCATTAAATTTTTGAAATAACACAATAGATTTTAATTTTTATATTGTGTTGTGATTTTATCAATGGATATTAAATTTATTAATAATTATATTTATCTTATTTATCTTTCTTTTTAGCTTAAGCTGGATGATTTTTAATTATTAAAAATTCGTTTGTAGATTATTATAGTCAATAAGAAAGTGAATACTTACTTATTTCTAAATATATTTTCTTATTTATTCTCATTCAATAATGTCATTTTCCTATAAAATTTCTTCACAATTACAATATCCTTCCACAAATTTTTTTCTTATAAAGCCCTCTTATATGCTTTATATTCTTTTTTTCTTTTTGAAGTCAATTAAGTAGATAAGGACAAAAAATATAGGCCAAGTATCCATTACTAAAATGAACTTTCTTATTTACAATAGGATAGTAGATAATTATATCATAACTATTTACATATCAAAAAATTAACTTATTTAACTTAAATTTTCTAAAAACTCTAAATTTACAGTTTAATAAATCCTAATTAAGTTTTATTTTTTTTTGAAAAATAATGTTTTGTAGTTATTTTTGAATAACAACACAATATTAGGCTTATTCTTAGTTGTTACTATTTTAATTAAAAGCATGTTTTGACCTTTTGACCTATTTACTATTATTAGAATTATATAATATTATATTATTTTCTCTTAATCTAAAAAGGAATGCCTATAAAGAAATGTAAGTATGTAATTAAATTTCAAAATTAAAAATGATAGAAAGGCAAAAGATTTTATTGTTAAAACAACCTTAACTAAAACATTCAGATGGATGTGCTTGATACAAATTTATAGAAGTACATGAAAATCTTTGAATCAGATGACAAAATTATGGTTTTAAAGATATATTATTAATTATTGAGAAAAATCAGAATAAATGTGAAAAATAATTTTTAGTAAAGTTAAGAAATTTAAGAAATATATAACAATAAAATTAAAGACGTTATTTCTACGATTATGTTATTCATTAATTAGAGTACCTTCTATTTGGATTGAAAATTTATCTTGATGATTTTTGTGAATTAAAGACCTCCATATACAAAACTTACAGATTAAACAGAACAGCAAAAGATATAAATCATAAACTATTTAGTTTTAGATGGGAATTAATTTATTAATCCTTTCAGATTTTTAGGCTATCTTTAGACTCAAAAGTTATTAAAATTCTATAAATTAGATCCTTCTTCTTTTTTTTCAAATTAAACGTCTAATCCTTATAAAATATGCTCCCATCTGTTCCTTTTCAACCTAAAATGATTTCATATTAAATGATTATTATTATTTTCGGTAATATCTTACTGTATAAATAAGATAAAAAGCAAAATTTTAATTCTCAGTACTATTTACATAATATCAATATCAATACATTATAAGATATTCTTATCGGTTTCAAAAGAAACCTTCTCCTTTGGTTCTATAAGCATCTTGTCTTTTTAGAAGCCAATCGATTTAAGAATTTATATTATTTAATCCTCTTAGAAATGTATTCAAAACTAGATTTTAATTTTTTTTTAATTTTGGGTCTTATGAAAGAATAATTTAATATTCTAACAGATAATATTTAAAAATTTTTAAAAATAATCATTTTATTCAAATTTGAATAAATAAATTTAATTATAAACTATAGTATATAGTAGTCAGAATATTTATAAAGATTTATAAATATTCTGACTACTATTTTGAAAAGTCTATACATGATCACGAACGAGATCTTTATAATTCAAAACTATATTCTCAAATATAAACATAAAAACTTGACTTTTAAGCTTATTTTATTTTTATACACAAATTTAACTATTCAGTCATTTTTCCAATATATATTTAATTTTTTCTTTAAATTCTTAGTTGCAATTCATATAAGTTTTGCCAAAAAGCAAGACATGTATTTCATTGCTAAAACACTATTTTTTTTATTTTTGTAATAAATTTGAATATCTTTATTTAAATTAATTTCTACACCTAATTTGAAACTGTAGTTTAACAATATTGAGGACATTTCATAAAAAAAGAGGAATTGGCCAATAATTTTTAAAATATAATAGGAATAAAAAGAGAATGAAAATTAAATATCAATTTCAATTATTTTATTTAGAATTTCATAGATTTATTTCATTTAATATTTCAACTTTTCCTGGACCATTAATACATGGATAATACTCATAATGTGGATCTATTTCAAGGAGCTACATTTAAAAAAAAGCAATATACAAAAGATTACTAAGTAGATTTTTTTATCCATTTGATGTATTTTTATTCAATCTCTACTTCTATGATGATAATATCATTGTTAGTAAAAGAGAATGGAATTGAATTATGATATTTCTCTTTTTGATGATGGCTGAAACAATAGCCACTACTCATTATAAGATAGGCTCTAAAATTATAAATATTATTTACCCTCTACCTGAAATATGTATATTCGAATACCCAGATTTAGAGATTATTTCTCTTGCTCCTATTCCAACCATAGTCTAATTAGTTCCGATATCATGTATTAAAAAACTAAATCTCACAATACCTTAATTAGAGATAGCTTAATCGCATAAACATGATAAAAATCCACCTTTATTATAAAATATCTTTCCATCCTACAATACCTAACATCTTGGGTATTTGTAAGTTTCTGAAAAAGTAAAAGAATTTTATAATATGGATATTTGTAATTACTCAGTCTATTAGATATTTTCTTATTTCTTTTAAGCATTTCTATCATGAAATCATCTTTTTACTTTTGGAGTTCTTAACATGTTTTTTATTGATTTTTTATAAGTTCCCTTTGAGTATGCTGTAATTATTTAATTTCGAGTTCTTTTTATTACAATAAATTATGAGAATCTTAAAGCAACTTATCATAATTATTTTACTCTTTCCTCTTAATTTCTTTGAACTCTGATAAAGTGTTTTGTAATTCAGAATTTTTAATTTGGGATAGGTCGAATTATTCTTACTTTTTATTATAGATGAGTCTAAATTTATTAATATGTGGAGTAATTTCTTAAACAACTTCATTTGCGAAATTTATTACTAATTATCTCTCTTATGGTAATGAATGTAAAGTGGGAAGATTGAGTATCAATTTTGGAAATTACTAAGGAATTAAAAGTTAATCAATAGAATTAAGTATTTTATCATAAGAAAGCTACATAAGGAAAATGAATATTATACATCTACAAATTAGCATATCTCCTGAATAGTGTTTTAAATCATTTTATTATTTATCATTATTGTTTTATATTTTTTTCTTTTTTAATTAAATATCTTATTAATATAATAGCAACGAAGAAAAATTATTAATAGCATTAAAATAGTTTTCTGAAAAGATTAAGTATAGTTACTCTTTCATTATCATTTAAAGTCCTTGTGTTATTTATGATTCTCTCATTAATATGATTTAATAAATCAAAATTTTATACTTTTGATAATAAAAGTATATATATTTGAATATTTCTAAGAAATTACACATTTTATTTCTCATTAGATGATATCAAAATAAATTAATCTATTCAATTATTTATAATCACAAATTTAATAATATATATTTCGAAATAATAAGGATTTAATGAAATAAACTGAATATATAATATTTTATATATAATAAATAAAATAAGTAATAATATATGAATACTATTTATTAAATTACATTAATCACTTCATTTATTCATTGTTTCAATTTCTTTTCACAAAAATCTAATCTAATAAGTTAAATATACTCTTTTAGTTTTATGTATTTTGATCATATGGGTCTATCTTTAATGATTTTTCATAATATATT